GGAAGTGTATAGGAAGGGATATATATACTAAGAATATTCTGTAGTAGTAGAGGCGGTAGTTCAAAGGGGATGGATGTAAAACCCCATTGACCATGGGATAAATAGGTAGAGACCGTATTAGTATGTGTATTACGGGGAATGTGCCCAATTAAGTAATTGCACATGGGCGTATTGGAGGTAATCAAGAGTCTGTCCAAAAGTTAATAAGAGTGTCATTACCGAGGATCCATTGTGTTTCGTATGGACACAGGCGCCAGCCAGTAATATGGTTATTCCAAATGAAAGAGTCACCAGTGATTCCATTACATCTGTGATAGAAATATTTGTGTAGGAGTGTGGCAGCTTATAATGAAGTTGGTTGACCGAGTAATCGTCAAGCTTGACTGGTGAGTAAGATCTGATTTTTTAGTTGGAGTTGTTGATGCCCAGGCCATCATCTTTCTTCGGGTAGTAACTTTTTGTGGGGGACAACTTCCAACAAGAAAAATTCATCTTACTTAGAAAAATCTTGGGTATGTGTATATCAAAAATATGGTACACTTCATGTAAAACATGAAAATCACCACGGAATTGATTGAGGCATCCAAAAACCAAGTCCAAAAGGGTGTATTGTGCCTTGAATCTTAGGTTAAAACAATCTCATGTAATGCCAATGTAAGCTACATGTATCAAAGCACAAATTTAAATAATGAATATCAGCAGTATGTACATATTGAACATATCGGGCATGCACTATCACATTTACTATACGAAGAAATTTGAATTCTTGACAAATTTTGAATACTCAATCAATCTTGAAGAGAAAATTATCACATTTTCACAATTGGACTTGAAAGTAGCAATCCAAAGTATTTTTTTTTCCTCTTCTAAACAGGGTTTTTTCTGCAAATAGCCGGCCAAATTCACTGTTTATTTTTCCTAGTTATTATATATAGATTTTATATTGATTATACATGGTTACACACATATTATACTTGACTTGTACATATATTATACATATATCGGATATTTTCAGTCCAANATCCAAATGATCTCTGGATTGATCAGAAGATCCTTTCAGTTGGCTAGAATCCGTTACTTGAACGAAACTAGATCTTGTGGAATCATATTGAATATTTGACGATACATTCTGTACCTTGCTAAAAAACCGATCCTTGTTTACCAACCACACATTGTCTAACCAAATCCAATTCTCTCTCGATACGTTCCTCAAAAAATCCGATTCGGACGGATTCTTCCCCCAACTAATGAAGAGATCTTGGCGGAATTGCCACATATGAAATTTAGCACAATTTTGGAATGATCCTTAACTTCACACTAAAAAATTGTTCGACAAGTAGAATCTATTGCAACTTGATATTCAGATTTCGTGGCCCCTAATGATTAGCTCTTCTTCGAGGAAGAGTTGATGGATGGTCCCAAGTGTGAAAATTTTGGTTCCTTAGGTACAAAGCATAATAAATGGCCATTTCCTAAAATGACTAGTTAAAGTCAACCAGAAAATGAGGCATAGTGTCATGACCCGTCACATCATCATGCTACATAGGTGCCACTTGGCATATATTTTTACTATATGGAAGGGTTAAATAAGTTAGGGAAAAGATCTTGGTGGAATATTCTAGAACTATGGAGAATTTCTCTAGAAAAGTTCTAGATATTTATGCATTTGTAGGAAGGTTCTAGAGAAATATAGAAGTTT